TGAGGCATGAGAGAGTTCTAGTGGCTTTCCCCCGCAGATTCACAAATGAGTAAATATTAAGTATGACCAAAGAAGGATCCTCTTCAAATAGCTTCAATGAGGAATAAAAAATGTTACTCGGTACATTTTTTGCAGCAAAGAGGTAACTCTAACTTGTAGGCCATGGATCCAATCCGCTGCCACACTTTAGATGGGCCAAAGAATGTTCCCAATGAGCTTATAATTAGAGGTGGCAATCGGATCAACCGGATCGGTTTTGGGTTGGACTTTTTCGGTTCGGATATCTTTCGGTTATATGTTATAATCGGTTCGGTTTGGTTCGGATCGGTTAAATTTCGGTTCGGATTTGATTTCGGTTCTATACATTTTTCGGTTCGGTTTCGAGTCGGTTCAAATACGGTTCGGTCGGATAGATTTCGGTTCGGATACAATTTGAGTCGGATATATTTCGGTTTCGGGTCTAGTTCGGTTCGAATATATTTCGGTTTCGGATCAAATATATTTTGGATATATATTATTTTCTAATTAAAATTTAACTATCCGTGTTTCCTTTTATGATTTATCACATTTATCAATCTATCATCAATTCAGTATCTCATATTATTTTATACTCCGTATTTTTTTCTAGTTATATTATCTCTACCCTAAATAATCTTTCCCTTTTGACTTTTTAGTCATATTTTACAAATTTGGACTACAAGTTATGAAAACAAATATATTTAATTATGATATAAATTTAATATAATTAAATTGATTTTAAAATTTAGTTTTGAAATATCAAATTTTTTCTCACATCTACTAATATACTTATGTATATAAATGAAAGGATAAAAGATAAATTCAAATAGTCTTATGTTTCATTTGAATACAATTTGGTAAAAATTGAGTAAAATTGGGTGAAATTAAGTGAATTTTATTCAATTGAGTGCAAAATTTGTAAATTATTGAGTATATTTGGTTGAAAATAGAGAAAATTAAATTTAATAGAGTCAAGTATAATTAATTTTACACCTAAATGTAATGGTGTAGATCAAATTTGAAAATGATAACAGTAAAGGCTGCCGCTAGAGAGTCTTTTCAAAATGCTAACACTAGCATCTAATTTTATTGACTAATATTGAGTGAATTGGTTTGAAACTAATCAAATTAACTCTCAAATCAATAAAATTTATTGTAATGAGATGAAATTAGGATAAAATCTAGTTATTCCATACAATTCATCATATATTCCTTTCGTCCCAAAAAGAATATCACACTTCACTATTTAAAAATTATGGAAATTTTATTTGTTTATGCGTTATCATTTATATGTATAACTTATCTTTAATTTCTACATATAATAAATTTAAGGCATAAAATTTTGTACTTTTTTTCAAGAAGATAATCCATTTTATGAGGGAATGAGCAAGTAATGTAATTAGTTCAAATGGTATAATAAAAGTAAAAATTTAAAAATATAATATGCTTATTGAAAGGCAAACATAGTTCCGAATATATCAATTTTAGTTCTAAACGGGTTCGGATATTATCGGTTTCAGATCTAATCGGTTTCGGATTTTATCAGTTTTGGGTATTATCGGGTTCGGATCTAATCGGTTTCGGGTTTAACCGGTTCGGATATTATCGGTTTCGGATCTAATCGGTTTTGGATTTAAATCGGATATGAATTATTTAGTTCGGTTTCGGTTCGATTCGGATCATTTCGGGTTTTCGGTTATAGATCGGATCTTCATTTTTCGGGTCATTCCGGTTTCGGTTTCGGATATTTCGGTTCGGGTAATCGGTTCCGGTTCTGTTTTGCCCGGTCTACTTATAATTGGCATGTCGCACAATGGTCACTTGGGGTCATTGTGGACAAGGCTTAAGATGAAACCAAACCCACTTCGAGACATGAAATTAGATGCCCTGATTCACTCCATCATTGGAGGTCTTCATGTGAACTTGGGCTTGTTGCAAATTTGAACAAGCAACGCTTAAAATATGCTCCTGATGTATTGCATCCAAACAGAAGTCCCCACCCATAGCTAAGACAAATGGAGACAAACGACCATACAAAACCGGAAAAGGGCGTGTGTTCCCACCAAAACATGGTGGGACATACTATAGCAATATTTGGCTTGTGGGAGCAAAGAAAACCAATCATGGCTGTCACATCGACAAGTCGAGTCGACTAGTCGATGATTAGTCAAAAAGTCATAATAAGTAAAATATTCTTTAAAATAAATATAAATATATTTATTTATAGTGAACACTCCATAACATCTTTTTGGTCAAATCGGGCCTATCCTGGGATAGTTGGAGTTGGCCTTTCATTTGGGTTTGCTACATGGGTTGTAGTTCTAGTTGATTTTGTTGTCCCCCATCTGTTATGAGATGAATAAAAAATATGATGAATAACTCCATAATTTCATATATTGCATAAAATAATTCTAAAATTAGATTTGTAAATCTTGACAAAAAATTGACTTGAAATACTACTAAAAAAAGTAAACAAAACTTAAAACTATATCAAAAACTGACATTTGCAAACCAAAAAAATCCCTTTAACTTTTATTCAACCCTCCAAAAGTAAAAGAATTAAAGTATAAATAAAAAACAAAAAAGAAAACAACACTTACCGTGAATAACCAACACCACCACTCTCAATAGTCATATCAAATTCATCAACACCTCATTCATCATCAAAAGGGAATATCATCCATCACCAAAGGATCTTCATCATCTTTTAGTGTCTTCCCTACATATATTTCCCCCGACACTCTAGTTTGTGTCCATGTCCTCTTCACCTCATTAACAACATTTTGAGTTTTTTACCTCTTCGTGTAAGATCCAGTGACTCAACTCGTATGTAGGTGGCTTAAAACCCCTACTAAAATTACCAATTGCACGACACTTGTTTAAGGATGATGGGGAATTAACAACATTGAACGAAATACCATTTTCAATATAAAATCTTCCCACATCAAGACAAATTATCTCCTTAGCTTCCCTTTCACCTATTGGTTTTTTCTGGAATGCCAGCATTTTTGAGATTGGCATCTATGACAATTCTATCCATTGGACCATGAATGTATTCACTTAACAAACTAGTGAATGCATTCACATTTTGATAGTAGGCCCCACTATCAATAAGCTCCTCTAGATTTCTCATGTTCACTCTCTTTATTTTTTCACCTAGGTTTCAATGTGATAACATCTCTTGTTTAATTTCTTCGATGCCACATTAAACATATTTGCTTTATATATTTTAGACAATTTTCTTTTTGGTCCCATTAAACATATGACTTCTCTAAATTATAAAAAGGTTTTGCTTACCAACCTAATAAACTAAGGGATTGAAATTCAAAGTTGCACTTGTACATGCACATGCATCATGCATGTTAACATTTGTGTGGCAAAAAGGCGATCAAATATATACCACTAATTCACATGCATAAAATGACCCCCCCCCCATTTAAAAATATGATAAATGCAAAGTAAACCAAACAAATCAAGTAAAGTTCAGGCGGTAGTTGATTTTGGGGGCAAGATTTACATTGATCTTACCCCTAGCCCTAAGGTAAAAAAAAGCATACTAACATTTAACAACATAGTTATGTATTCATTTGAGGTGTTTAGATGTTGGTATGCCTTTATTTGATGAGTCACCCTTGCTTTGATATCGTTCAAATGAGCTGAGCTAAGATTGCGAAGGACATGTCATCCTTGGGTGGGCCATTGTTAGTAGAGAGAGAAGCAATAACAAATTATGTACATGGATACAAATGAGAAAGAATACTTGAGGGCGGGATGCCTACCTAGCTCATCTGGGAAATCTCTTGCAATAAAAAGGGAAGAGAATTTCCTAGACAGAGGCTACATTTATAATTTCAAAAAACAGCCAAGCATAAAAATAAAAGGTCATCCAAAGAGGGAGACTAATGATGATTGAAAACCAGGTGGGGAAGATATTTTGAGAGATAACATGTAATACCCCGTATCAAGATGGGAATGGGAAGAGCTCAAAAGGATTGATAGTACTACTCATACCAACAAGGTGCATCTTCTTTTCGAGAGCTCATCACTTAGAAACTCCAAGGTTAAGCGTGCTTGACCTGGAGCAATTCTAGGATGGGTGGCCCCCTAGGAAGTTTTCCTTGGGCGCGCACGAGTGAGGACAAAGTGCGCGGGAAAGACTTGTGTTGGTTTGTGAGGACAGTCTACAATTCTATTAGCGAACACTTACGGCCAGGGTGGGGGCCGGGGTGTTACATAACAAGAGAAGAATTATTCTCATAACAACCTAATACGTAAAATCCCATGAGTGGGATCTAGGGTTGGGTGTATGCAGACTCTACACCTACCTAAAAGGTAGAGATGTTTCCAAAAGATCCATGGCTAAAAAACAAAGATTAGGATCCAACACAACTGACCAGTCATACCAAAGTTTACCATACAATTCTAGCCCTCAACCACCCAAGGTTCTTATTTATGGCCATGCTCTTGGTTAGCTACAGAAATATCAAATCCTATCTAATCACCTTAATCCAATTTTTCTTTGGCCTGCCTGCTTAGGCAGCCAACCTCTCACACCTCCTCTGAAAAAGAGCATCCATGCTTTTCCTTCAAACATGCCCAAACCACCTTAATCTAGAAAATTCCATGCCTCTCCTCTCTTGGCATTCTAGCAATGCTGGCAATTTTAAGAGTTGTCTATAAAGTATTACCACATACATAACATGCACCTAAACATCAACCAAACTTCAAGAAACCAAAAATATGCAACATATATACCTTGGCATTGTTGCAGATTTTTCAACCATTACATGCTTGATCTGTGGAAACATGGAGCTAAGAGTGTAAAAAGTTTGTCTTGCATCACTAGAGAAAGGACACCATGCCGCATAGAATAAAACAGCAGTATGTACGTTCTTTTGACTAGAGTTCAAGGCCTTGTCAAGAAAATCTCCATCCATCTTCAATTAAAATTACAAAAAATATGCTTTAGTAAACTAAAAAAACAGTTAGATATGCGAAAAGAAAAATAAGTGGCATCACATCATTGAAAGAAGAATGGCACTCATATGTTTGTCTCTAATATCAATTTTATATACTTTGATGAGGATCCCACCAATTTCATACACAAGTTCAAACGCCATACAAAAATCCCCAGTCAAATGAAATCCCACTATTTAAAAGTCTAATCTACAGAAAACTCATCCATTATACACTTCCATCCAGCCAGAGTATTTCAATTCTAATTACAATATGCATTGCAGTCATTCACAACTAAACAACCAAGCCTTAATCCCAACATTATCAGAGTTGGGCGGTTAGCTAAAGAATAAGCAATAATTTCCCTCTTTAACATTAAGAGAATGGTGTTTTTGGTCTACCATTGCTCTTCTTTAAGTCTCCATCATTTCCCAGATCATGATAATCAGCTCGTGAAGGAGGCTTTCGATTCAATAGGGGAGATTATTCTTATTTAAGTTCAATCAATCAAGATTATGGTTTTGAAAAGGCTATCTACGGGCAGCGTTTAGTGTTAGCATTTTTAAAATTAATCTGTACCGTTAAAATTTATCCAAAATGCTAATGCTAATCGAAAATGTTATTCCCAAACGCACCATATAAAACACTTCTAAGAGGTTTTACTCCATTTACAATTTTGCATTAGAACCTTCTGGGAACAGATTGGGTCATACTCTTGCTAGGCCATCAGATTTAATGACTGAATCAGTTGAGTGGGGCTCTAGTCCTCCAGCAATTATTCAAGTTTCACTCAATTTTGAAATGAATAACAATAAACGGACTGCTTATTTTCACTAAAAAATGAACGCCTTTACCTAATCCCATGGAATTTAAATCATTTCCCCATTATTCCGTCATCCCAATAAAGCAAACCATAATGTTTACTCTCTCCCTTCCTTATTGTTTAGACTTTTTCTCTGGAAATTAGTGAACTTTGACAACAAATTAAATATAAAAAAGTGATGTTAGATATTGATACAAAAATAACCATACCTCGATTGGCAAAGATGGACTTGAGATCGGAAGAGAGCTCTGGAAATTCAGCTCGTGCAGAAACGCGGGAGAGTGATGACTGCGGGGGCAGGTTGACTCGGATTCATACTGATTCGGATGGGAAAATGCGTAGCCGAATATAGAAAATATATACATCCACACCACAGTGGTCACGAAGCATCTCATCGGGAAATGTATCTTTTTGCTTCCGCAATGGAAACGAAAGAAATATCTAAATAAATAAACGGAGAATCAAAACTCCAGCTACCAACGCTCCAGAATTTATTACTCTGCAGATCTTTTAGCTGGAAAAGATATAAATCGGTAATCGCCGATCGGCCCTAAACGATGGCTTCTTGAAGTTCTTCTCCTGTCTTCAATGGAACTTCCTCTCACGACGCGCTAAATCCTTCTTTCCTCAACCACTTGTCTCCTGAAGGCCCGAGTACCTTTTACCGATAAGTTTTTCAAACTTTTTCATTTTATTTTATTTTGCTTATTCTTGTTAAAATCACAGAACAAATTTAAATAGATCAGATCAGATTCAATTAGATGAGGTAAAATCCAATCAAATTATATCAATCTAATCAGTTTGAATTATATCCCATCAGATCAGATTAAATAATATCAAATCAAGAAAATTGATATTTATATTTTTCAAGTATTAAATAATATTCCCTCCGTCCTAAAATTAATTTCCCATTTGACTTTTCACGGTCTCCAATACAGCACTTTGACCATTAATATCTATATTTTTATATGAATATATATTATCATAATAATATATTTCAAAACTATGTTTCAAAACGAATCTACTGATACTAAATTTATATGAAAATTCAATATATCTTTTCCGTAATATGTAGTCAAAGTTTAAAAACTTTGACTGCAAAAGTCAAAATGGGAAATTAATTTTAGGACGGAGGGAGTAATTACTATTATTTGATTAAATCACACTACTTTATTTAAAGCTACACACACCTAATTAGCTAAAATCAAATCTAATCAAATTCATTTAGAACAGACCAGATCAGATCAAATCAGACACAATCAGATTATATCAGATCTAATCAGATTGGATCAAATTCAATCAGATCAGACCAGATCAGAACTTTAAAATTTTAAATCAGATTCAATCAGGTCAGGCGTATGGAATATAGACTTAGGAGGGGTGTATTCTAAGATTTTTTTAACTTTAAAAGGTCAAAGGATTTAAAATCCATAAATTCCATATAGAGTTTGACTTACTTTTTAATTGATTTACGTGAATTTTAGTCATACTCTTTTATTGATTTATATGTATTTCTAAGGTACAATAGCCATCTTGCATCATCGGGCCTTCTTCCATCAATTTTGAGTACGATAGCCATCTGAAGTCTGGAAGTCTGCATCGAATTGGTTGACAACAGCCCTGGAAGTCTGGATCTTCATCATCGATTCAATTGGCACTAGAAGTCATGAAGTCTCCATCGAAATGGTTGATCGAAGGAGAAGATAAGAAAGGCAGAGGTCTTGGTTGCAAGGATAAGAAGATAAGCAAGGCAGAGATCCTAGTCCTCGTTGCACTGAAAGATAAGCAAGGCAGAAGATAAGAAAATAAGAAAAGCCTGCATCATCGATTCAATATTCCTAGTGTTGCCGCTACACAAATCGAAGAAGAGAAGATAAAGTCAGATAAAGTCCTGGTTGAGTGAAATCTGGATTAATCTGAAGAAGAGGAGTCTGCAAAATCACAGGGATGTTGTTAGGATTTGGTATCCGAATTTGTATTTATATGCAAGGTATGAAAATCCATCAAAATCTACATTATTAAAAATCTTTAAAAATCTATCAATTTTTGAATGCCACCATATTTAGAAGGATTTGTAAAAATCTTAGTTGAATACATCCAAATTTTAAATAACTTTTTCAAATCTGAATTGAATACCCACATACTTTGAAATATAAAATTAAAAATCATCAGAATCCTGATTGAATACACCCCCACCCCCACCCCCCCCCTTTTACTTCAAAAGACTCCCAATTTTATTAAAAAAATGATTGATATGTCTAGATAAAGTCATTACATTATTTTTTATTCATTTTATGTTGATATAATACATTATTTATGTTATTTGTATCTCTCTTTCTTTGAAGAAATATAATTAGAATGTCAAATTGTAATAATAAATCTTCCAAAAACCAAAACGAGAATTGTTTAGAACTCGAAAAAGAGATGAATGTTGGAAGAAATTGAAAAAATTAGAAGAAATTGGAAAAACTAGAAAGAACTAGAAATTGGAAAAATAGAACTTCAAAAATTTATTTAAGTGTGTATTACATATTATTCTTATTATAATTATTATTGTTGTTGTTGTTGTTGCTATAGATAAAAAAAGTAAATTACATTTGACCACGTGAATTCTGCACATGCCATTTAATTAGGCAAAGAGGGAAAATTATAATTATTATTTTTTAACCTAAAATATTGACATTTTTCCTAGATCAATTTTGATTAATAAAATATCTCTAATTTTTAGAACAATGTTTAGTGTCATGTAAATTAATAAAAAACATTTCCTGATAAAATTGTAATCCGTATCATTTATATTAAAATTGGAAGGAAAAATAATAATTAGTGTAAATCACAAAAATAGTGATATGGGAAAAATAAAAATTGAAAATTTGAAAATTAAACTATAGTTATGAATGTATTAACAATAACAACAATAATTATAATAAAAGTAATAATAATAGTATATGAAAACACGTTATTTTTTGAGTCATTATTTGGGGAGTAGGAAAAGAGAATAGTTGGAGATATTGGAAGTAAATGGAAGAAACTAGGAGAAACTCGAAGGAATTGAAAAAACTAGAAGTTAAGAGTTTAAGCTCTAAAAAATATGTTCTTAATGAATTTAATAATTTATACTTTTCTTTTTAAATTTTTCAATGTCTTTTTATTTTCTCTTATGTCAGTATATTTATGTCCCAAATCAGAGTAATATTTCTATGACTCAAACTCACTCATTCTTTTTTACTTTTAAAAATCAATGTCAATTATATAAACAAAAACTCCTTAGATAAGAGTAAATAACTACGAAAATACTAAAATAAGAGTCCTAGGTCTTTTAAGATCAAAATAAAAGTTGACATATTATTATTACATTCTCATACTCACCACATTGTCCCACTACAACTGTCACACTATCATCCATTGTCATTGGCCACCAGAGTGCCGCTATCAACACTACAAAAAAGGAGGCAATACCGACAGGGGCCAATATGTCGCTAAAGGTTAAATATCTGTCGCTACTCACTTTTACCGACAGATAATTGTTTGTCGCTACGCTGCCGCTAAAAACTCCGTCAGTAAAAGTATTACCGACAGATAAAATATACTGTCACTAAAATAGTGTAATAGCGACAGATCAAAGATGTCGCTAAAAAAAGAGAGAAGTACCGACAAAGCATATATGTCGCTAATACATGGATTACCGACAAAAAATAGTGTGGGTAAATCCTTCTTTTCTGTCGGTAATACTTTATTTTTACCGACATTACCATTTATTATAACTGTCGTTAAAAGTTGAAATACCCAAAAAAATTTGGATGAGTAAAACATTTTTCTGTCGGTAATAGTTTATTTTGACCAACATTAATATTTATTATAACTATTACTAATATCATATTTCACACCAATATGCTCAATTTAAATGATATCAAAGAATTTCATTGATAAATAAAAAATAATACTCATACTTGTATAAACAACAATACATAATACGATAACATTTCAAAGATTAACAACGTAACTAACCCATTTACTAGAAAGTAAACCAACATCTCAAAATTAGTTCATCATTTGCGT